TGGGGTCCAGCATGAATCTGAAAGCTTGGAAGACTAAACCAGATTTGTTCCTGCAATCATCAGAATACCTTAAAACTTCTGGAGAGAAAAAAAATGTAACACAGAAGCAAACAGCATTATGGGTGGAGGCAAAGGATCGTGCTGCATCATGTTTGGTGTCTCAGAACGGTACTCAGAAAGACAGGGAAAGATGAAGGTGGTCAGAAAGAGGGCAGGAAAATGGATGGACCAAGAGAAGATCAGAATTGTGCAAGTCAAGGGATTCCCTGTGACACTTTATGGAAATGAAAGTTGGACTTTGAAGAAGCAGGATAAGAAGATATTGATGCTGAAAAGGAAGATGGATTTAATTACAGGGGTGATAAAATGCACCATTGGAAGACCAGAAAGCCCAGGTTAGGAAAAGATCACCATGAAGAAAAGGTATCTGCATCGTCGCTAAAAGTCAACAATGACTTGATGGCACATAATCAAGAGAAGTGAGCATATTGGGCATAAAATAAGAGCAGGGGGTTGGACTAGATGACCTCCAAGGTCCCTTCCAACGTTGTTATTATTATTATTATTATTATTATTGTTGTTGTTGTTGTTGTTGTTGTAAGTAAAAAAGCAGAATCTACATGTTTTTTTCACATTCTTTCACCTGCTTTAACACTGCTCACTTCCTGTGCTGTTGTACTACGTTTGCCATTTTTAAAAATAATATGCTGTTAAACTGAGATGTTAAGTTAAATCTAAATTAAAATAAGAGCAATCTGCATTTGGCTTAAGTATCACTTTTCATTTAGGAAATTATAGTCGCCGTGAAGGAGCCAGAGGATCAAGCTGGAGTGCCCAAAACACCCCCCGAGGAACATACAGTGAAAGTCGAGGTGGTCAGAGCAATTTCAACAGAGGACCTCTCCCCCCCCTGAGGCCTTTAAGTTCTGCGGGTAAGGGATTGTTTTCCTCTACAGTATAATTAATCGCTTTATATATTTATGTATCTAATTGTTCTTTGCATGGAGCTCTCAAGATGCCTTGCAAATCAAGGGTGAAATCACAAAACCACCATTGAATGCAAAATTAAGAAATGAATACCAGATGTAAGTTTTGTTCAAAATAATAGAAAGCAAGCACATATAACTGCTTGGTGGTCAAACATTTTCCCTGAGATAGGGGGTAATCATCACAGAAAATAGAAGGCATGCCTTCCAGGCAGCATATTGTGTAACAGGCAGAACACAATCATGGAACAATTGGAGCAAGATCCCGAAGTTACTTTTTTATTTACTACATTTCAGTCCCAGCAGGTTTGGCACCTTGCCAGCCGAGGTTGATCTCAGAGCTACTATCTGAGTGGGAGGCCCACAGTAAAAGGCCAGGGCTGTAATCAAGGAAAAAAACATCCCAGAAGATGGCAGTGGCCAGTTCCTTCTGTTTTGCTGCCAAGAAAATGACATGAACATGTTTATATCCTCTCCAGGTTTTGAGCTTTATTTTATTGTTTAAACTGTTCAAGGCACCTTAGATCAGTGTTTCTCAACCTTGACAATTTTAAGGCATGTGGACTTCAACTCCCAGAATTCCACAGCCAGCAATGCTGGCTGTGGGATTCTGGGAGTTGAAGTCCACATGCCTTAAAATTGTCAAGGTTGAGAAACACTGCCTTAGATAATTTAATGTACTTTTTTTAAAAAAAAAAGACAATAGAAAAACTAAAAAACATGAGGGCAGTTTTTCTTGGGCTGACACCCATTAGAAGTTAAGGGCATGAGTTCCCTGCTAAAGGCTTTTATTTTATCTGCACAACAACTTGCATGTTTTACCTATTGATTGTTAAAATACATAACTTTACTTAAAATGGGAGTTGGAAATATGCATTAGACAATATCAGAATTAGCATATCTTTTTCAGCCTCAGTAGTTCTCACGTTTTTACACATTTTCAGTCAGGTTACCGGTATTTATTCTTGGTAGCAAGAGTGGTGCGGTGGGCCTGAAGGTGGAGCTCTCACCTCACAATCAGGAGGCTATGAGTTCAATCCTAGGTAGTGGCAGATATTTCTCTCTGGACGCAAAGAGAAAATATCGGCTGCAAATTCTGCATAGGAGTCAGGAAAGGTATCCGACCAGTAAACGCTCAGCTCCATTCAATCACCTCAATTCCTCCCTGATGAATCATTAAAAGAAAAAAAAAAAATCTTGGTAGCAAGTCTTGGTTTTAGCTGCACTAAATTACAATCCTAATACATTTTTCCCCTCTGCCTGTTATATATCATTTTAATTCTTTAAACAGTGTGGCATGTTTTCCTGTATACTAAGAAGATTTAATTTGGTCATTTGAAGGGGCTTCCGTCAGAAAATTATAATGCATTACTTGTACATCCCGCTACAAAAGCATAGATACTGTTGCCAATAACCTTCCCATTTGTTTAAGGCTACCGGCCAAGCCCCCGTGATCGTGCTTCCAGAGGTCGTGGTGGAATTACACCATCTTGGGCAAGTACCAACAACAGTGGTAGTGGTGGTTCAAGAGGAAAGTTTGTTAGTGGAAGCAGTGGAAGAGGACGTCACGTTCGTTCCTTTACTCGATAAACAGTTCTGACTGTGAACATTTCAAGATGATGGTGAAACAATTAATTAATTGAGGACCAATGCTAGACCTTTGGTATTTGAAGGCAGCAAGACATTACTTTTTTTAGGGATTCATATTTGTTTCGTACAAGATCTGAGATTTCAATAAAACTGTCTTTTTTGTGTGTAATATTTGTGTTTGGGGCATGACATGGCAGTGTGCCAGAAATAAAGATTTTTTTTTTCTAGTAGGTTTGCAGTGTGGCTTTCACCCAAGATATAGAGACTACCTCTGCTAAGTAATGAATGAAGAACACCTTTTGGCACTCTGAGATAGCAGAATCCGTCAAGCACCTTCCTAAAGCTCCAGCTGTTGTATTATTTATTTGATCAACTTCTAAAGCTGCCATTCATCAAGCTACTCTGGATGCTGCAAGGTCATTTTTGGGTGAAGCCGTTTCAGAAGAAAGATATATTTTAGAAAGTTTAGGCAACTTGTAAATGCCACATGTCCTAGCTATCTTATTTTGTAAAACAGTTGGCACTTTCTAGGTATTTGAAAAGCTGAAGATGAGGTATACATTGGGGAGAGGGTATATCTGAAGCGATATTACGTTACAATGGTTCACAGAGTAATGAAACTACAGTCAGGGTCCCTGATGTGGAGAACTACAGCTATACATGTAGTCCTCGATTTAGTAACCAGTTGGAACTTGTAACTTGGTTGTTAAGTGAAACATGTCACTAAGTGAAACTGCAACCACTAATATTCTGACTTCAGTTTTCTTTTGCTTTACAACCTACAAAGACATAAAGTCACTGTACCAGGCAATCGGTCATTAAGCAAGGACTACAAATAGTTCTTGACTTAACAACAATTAGTTCAGTGACCGTTTATAGTTATGGCAGTACTGAACAAAGGGACTTACAACCAGTCTCTAAAGTTACAGCTGTTGCAGTGCCCCGGTTGGTCATGTGATTGCAATCTGGGCTCTTGACAACCCATTTACACTTACGACCGGTTGCCAAGGGCCCTAAAATCACATGATTTACAATCTTCTCTGCCGAGTCCTCAGAAAATTAATGGGGAAGCTGACCGAGAAGGTCACAACTGCTACCACTTGCTGAGAAGATTCCTTCTGGCCTCTGGAGGCTGGCTGATCACGCCCTGTGCCAAAACCCAAGCAGGATTTCCTGCTATGGAAGATTTTCAGTCCCAAAGTGGAGAGGATTCAGAAGCCTTTTGACTTTGGGCCTGAAAATCCAAGTGGCTCTGAGCCGCTTGTGCACCTTCTCTGACCCTCCTCCACAATCTTGCATACCCTCCCTGGCTCATGCTGGAAAGAAGTTGCCTTGCCTAATGACCAGGACATTTATTTAACTCCAGGACTTCCTGGATTGCCGTAAGCGAAGCAGTCACACTTTACAACTGCATTGCTTGGCGACAGCAATCCCAGACCCAATTGTCATTGTAGGTCAAGGACTATCTGAACTATTGAGCAACTGATCTTCCCTAACAACCAAGAACTTGAGACAGAGGCACTGGGATAGGGTCCTATGTCTCCATTTTGGTTTTCTGAATGAGTAGGGCTGTTATTTCATATAGCAGTGGTGGCGAACCTATGGCACGGGTGCCAGAGGCGGCACTCGGAGCCCTCTCTGTGGGCACACATGCCGTTGCCCCAGCCTTGCCTCCGCCCGCGACCCCATCCTCACCAGCAACCCCCTGGAAGAAAGTTGCCCCCGAGCGTGGCCCACGCAGAGCAGCCCAGCCAAGGACATGGCAGCCAGGCAGCGTAGAGAAGACTCTGCCCTCACGCCCCATCGCGCACAGTTGATGCTGCGGGGCACGGGCAGAGGGCATGGCTGCAATGGTGCTGCTGGGCTGCCTGGGTGATCTGCGGCGGGCCCTGGAGGCGGTGAGTGGCCCTGCAGGCAGGTGGGGTGGAGTGGGGGCGGGGCAGGGAGTGAAGTGGGGCCAGTTTTTGGGCACTCGGTCTCTAAAAGGTTCGCCATCACTGTCCTATAGCTTACCAAAATCCTATCCTTCCAAATTTCAACTGGTTATGTTGGTATCAGTCATAGTTACTGAGGGTGTGACTTTAAGGGCATTTGCTTCACTGAGACAGAAACTGGTATTGTTTTAGTACGTAAAGATAAATTTAAGAAATTAGTGAAAAAATGGAACCATTTACAGCAATGTCCATGTTTTCTCAGGCCCTGATTTGTTTTCTCTTTCCCAGAGCTAGCAACCACCCACCTACTTCCCTTTTTCTCCCGTTTCGTGCACGTCTGTTTTATTAAAAGAGACAGAAAGGGAACAGGTAGAGTTATTTTTGAGCGTGATCAAACAATTTTGTCATGCTTTTTTTGGATCTCATCAGCCATTCCTGTGTGTATATGTTGGGTGATGTACCTCCCTTTGGATCTTCTGCCTTTCCTGGTCTGGGGCTTCCCTGGAGGCTCCAGGTGTCTGCCTTGGGTTTGGGACGAAGCATGTCCCTGTTTGAGTTTTCGCTTCTCCCAGGGAAGCCTCCAACTAACATCTTCATCCTCTGGAGCCAGAAACTGAAAATGCACATTCCAATGGATCAGCACATGGACAGGGATAGCCAGCAACTTCCTGCAGTTTCTCCAAAGCCATTTTCTGCCTCGATGTCTCAAGCAGCACAGGTTCAAACATATCTCCTTCCCTCTCTCTCTTTTCTTCATTTAACAGCTCAAACCTGCAGTATGTCCCCCAGCAGCTGACAACAAAGGTTTTCTTCCAGGATTTAAGTCCCCCAAATCAATACACATACTAGGTTTGGCCTATATGAATGCCACCTCCATCTGCCCCCACAATAGTCTTGGTTAGCAGCAGAGCAAATTATTTGCTCTTGGGATGCTGTAGTTATGCTCTGAATATATTTCTCTCTCCTGCTATCTCAGACCAGCACAAAAGCAGCCAGCCTGGCCACAAAACCCATACTGTGTGCCATGGTATCATTACTGAGGATTTCGTTTTTGAGGATTATACCAGGCAGTTTTAGAGTTGTGCTTTTATCAAATTTATTCACATGTTAAGTCATGTGGTTTCATGTGCCATTTGTGACTTGGGTTAACGTAGTTTCAGTTGTTTTACTTCCGTCAAATGTTTTATCAATATTAACAGCACCATGAATTAACTGTCAAATTTCTTTTCAGTCCATGGGGGTGACAGGATTAGTGTAAGAAAAAGCTTTGCTTGTCTGCTGAAACCAGCCAAGACTTTAATGAACTCCTCTGTTTATTTGTCGCAGCAGCAAAATTAACCCACAACAGCACTGCACTTTCAGAACATGCACATGGAATAAAAATATTGGAAATGAAGTATTTATTTCAAAGAAAAATACACAAAGATGCACATTTTAGCCATCTTCAGTCAGACCTCTTCTACACTTCTTTCAACAAGCATAATCCACACTGCACAGATCAAGGGTCTCCAACTTTGAGACATGTGGACTTCAACTCCCAGAATTCCCCAGCCAATTCTGTGCATTGAGTCCACAAGTCTTCAAGTTGCCAAGGTTGGAGACCCCTGGCATAGATTATCAAATTTGTGATAGTATTCCTAATTTCTTTTTGGGCAGCCTCATTCTCCTAAAGAGTAAATTCCTTTCTGAACCTTCTTTTTTTTTATGGATTGACACTTCTATATTAAACTGTCCTTGACTCCAAAAATCCCATTTTGGCTAATACGTGCAAAAATATTTATTAGCTTTATTAGTTAGCTGAGTATTTGTAATATTGATTTTCTAGTTGCCGAGTATGTGTAATATTAAAAACATTGTTTACAAATTTCTTGAGCTATTTTAATACTGAAAAACATGTTAATCTAATGGTAGACAAATGAGATTTATGCTTTTCTGGCAATGGAAATGGAAATGCTCATTAACATAAATAGGTTTGGTCCAAATGTAGTTATGGGAGAACTGCTCTTGTGACAACTTATATTTTGATTAGGGCGATACCTTTTATTCTGGGATCTCCAGTGAAATATATAGTATTTCACTTTCAGTTTTATTCTTGAAGCAATCATATGAGGTAGATTGGACTGGAAGATCAACTTACAAATTGTGTTAACTATATTGCAGTTCTGAAGTATATCTAACATAAGGGCCAGGGTTATAAAGGCACTGTAAAATCCTCTCTTTAGATATCAACTATAATTTTTAAAAAAACCAAAACCAAAGTTTAAATTTATTATTACTTTGTCTTCCACCTCTAGGATGACAAGTAGCCTATTCTGAAGGTTTACAAACTACCTGAAAAAGAAAAACACTGAGGTAAATTAGAAATCAGGATCAGAATCCAGTAATTTATCTTGCATAGTTTAGAATATCAACTACTGAAAAAAATCTTTATTCCTATAATTTTCATAGTCAAACTAAGGTCCTGTTTGCCTTAATCTTCAAGTCTAAGTTTTTTTTAAATACCCTGTTCTGAATAGCAGAAAGACATTTTGTTACTCACTTGAGGAGGAAAAAATAATAGATTACGTAAAACAAGGTATTTCAATCATGCCCAGGTTTTTAAATTCCTAAGACTGACTACTGAAATAGTTAACACTTGAAGATGCTCTCTTTTAAATATGATTCTTCCCAAACTCAATGAGATTTGAAAGGATCTCAAGGAAAATAAAGCCTATAAATGAGTACTGATTTGTTTTAGAATAAGATAACTTAATAATTTTGCCCTCTAAAGTTAGTTCAAAGTTCAGCAAACCTGGCTTTAAAACTTTTAGTTTTATATGGCTGTTGCTTCCCATGTTTTTAGTTTCATACTATCCAGCCGTGATAGAGGCTGGGAATGTGTTGCTTTCTTGCTTTCAGCTCTTGGAGAGAGGCTGCCTGTTTGGAAGTTCTTCATTAATTCCAACAATTCACGTTTTTCAAGTTCTGCCTGCTCCAAGTCTTGGCGATGCTGTCTTTCTGTTGCCATCAGAATCTGCATGTTAGACATCATCTTGGACATTTGACTCTAAAAAGCATTTAAAGAGTTAATTTTATCATAAAGTATTGCCAATGGCTAAAAGAGAATGGCAAATGTTGCATTTTCTTTTACACAGGCATTATCTTCCCTGTCCAGTAAATACAGCAATGTGGTGTTCTTAAGAACTGCCTCCACAATTTTATCCAGGCATCAAATATGAGAGAATAGTAAAGACGAATGGTAATAGCCAAGTTATTTTATTCTCTTCATTAATTATCTGAGCCGTCTACCTGATTAAGCTCAACAGAGGCTAGATTTTCTTTACAGGCAGTCCTCGGGTTATGATGGTAACTTGGGCCAGGATTGTCATTGCTAAGTGATGTGACATAAAGTGCAATGTCAAGCAACTGCATCGCTTAACAATGGCAATCCTGGCAGCCCTGGTTGCCACTCTAACTGCAGGATGCCCAGCTTTTTTATAGCAGAAGAGGTGGGAGTGTAGGGGAATGTGGGGGTGCTGCAGGGGGTGATGGTACTGCAGAGGGGGTGCCGTGGGCAGGTGCTGTGGGCAGGTCAGCAAAGGCTATGGTGCAGGCACACCACCACAGAGTGCAGACAGGTGCTGTGGAATACACATTTTCTATGGACTCCTCAGGAGAAGCAGTGATGGAGACAACTTGTGACCTTTCCTGTTGGATATTAAACCAACTGCCCCCCCTGCAAATCCAATTATATAGTATTAAAAGATAAACCCAGATGTGCAATATGGTGAATTGAACAGAATATAGTAAAACAGTGAGGGACCCTGCTCACCTGAACCCAAATGCCTAGGAAACAGCCAGGTCTTGATCACATTTCTAATGTCACCATGACTGATATCAACGTGTGCTGGAAGGAAGATCACTTCAAAGAGCAGGGGCAGCCACTGAAAAGTCACACTGCCTAGGTTCCATAAGACAACAATTCTTAGATGAGGGGACCTGGAACGTGCTGTCCCAATGAGAACATGAGGGACAGGCAGATTTTTGGAGAAACAAGCAGCTCCAAAGGTAGCCTGGTCCTGTGCTTTATAAGTGATAACCAGTACTTTGAATCAGTACCTGGATGCCTATTGCCTGCAGCCTGCAGAGTAGCAATGTCTTTAGGACGCAGTGGGCTGCGCCTCTAACTACCTGTGCCACTGCATTCTGGACCAACTGAAATTTCCAGATGGTCTTGGGAGGCCACAACACCTAGCATGACAATAGCTAAACATTATTACAAATAATGAGCATGCCATACTACTTAGTGAACATTGCTCTCATCAGATCAAAGAGCAAGGGGAATTTTACAACAATTTGGAGCCAGCTTGATATTTCTTCTTTTTTTTAAAGAGAGACTTCAATAAGCATTCTCCACGTTTCCTTTGGGGAGAATTCATAAATCGGTAGAAAAAGTTATTTCATGGTTGGATCTCAGCATGGAGTAAAACAATAAGAGCAAACTGTTTCCACTAAAAACAGTTCCTGTAGCGGCAAAAGACAATATAATTACCTTAAGGTCTTCAATGTCTTTTTGCAAAAGACTCTCTTTTTTCACCATGTATCTCCTTTGGGAATCTAAGCGAGACTGCATCTCATGTTTTGTATCTTCCATTTGGCAGTTCATGTCAGATCTTAAGAAAAGAAAGTGTACTCTCCTTTAATAAGACTTATAATGTTTAGCTCGGTTTGAAAATCTGAAATAATCCCTTAGCTATTTTGACAGTATTTCAAATGTGAAAAAGCAAGAACCAGCAGTTAAGACAGTTTTATCAACGTGTCAATTCCTTCACGCTTATACAATCTTTAAGTAACTGTCTAATTCCCCCTTGATAAGCAGAGTTTGTTTTCAGGATTGGCAAAGATGATAGACAAAATATTACAGATTTTCTAGAACCAGTAGTTTCTTCATCTTTGGCAATAAGTCAATGGCTGTGATATTAATATAACGATTTAAGTTAGAAGCTAGAGCTTTTTACAGCTGACTCTCAGTCAAGAGGGCACAACTTTACCTGAGTAGCTCTAGTTCAGTTCTCAGTTCTGCCACACAGTTGTGCTGGGCATCTTCAGGACCAAGAATGACATATCCACAGCCATTGGGGCATTCCCGAGTCCGAAATTCACACACTACCACATGACTATATAAGTGACGCCGTTCAACTTGGACTGGACAAGCTGAGTGAAAAATAGAAGGTGGGTAGAAACAGAAGAAACAATTTTATCTCCATTGTTGTTAATAAGAGAAATTAGTTCTTTACCGAGGTGTTTCTGACCCAGGGAAAAGTTTGAGTGATAGTGAATAAGGTGTTCAGTTTTCCTGTTCTTCAGCACATCTTTAGCACATTTAGAAAACCGACAGCTTCTAGAAGTAGTTGGACTTTTAAGAGTCCCACCCAATATGGCCAATATTCAAGAATGAGAGGTTCTGTAACATCAGGAAAGGTCCTGGTTAGTTATTTCTAATCTAACACACAGAGAAGTAGTTTGTCTCCCAAACAATAACAAATGGGAAAAAAGAAACATCAGTTTCATGACAGCTGATGTCAGCTCTTCACGTATTCTATGAATCCATGGATTCCTCAGCAAGGTGGAAACAAATTAACCTGCACAGAGAGAGAAAAACTAGAACTCAAGAAAGATCACTTAATAGCAAGGATCAAATTCTTTAGGCCCTGCTTAATATAGGTATTAAAAATAAGGTTTACCATCGCTACATAAAACATCTCTGCCTTTTACCTACCAATATTTGGACAGGGAATCTGGGTGTATTCACACTCGCATTCATGACTGTCAATGGATTCTAGTGAACACACTACTTCACAGCCACGCTCTCTGTTTCTGCAGTGAAGCTGAAGTCGGTTAAGATCATTCCTCATGTACCTACATCAAGAAATTATCATACTTGCAGTACTGTAAGATGCATCAATAAAAAAATGTTTCCTGACATTTTTTTCTTTTGAGAAACATGGAAAAATAATATTAAAAAAAAAAAGAAAGCACACTTTTGTTGTTGTTGAATAACCAGGGAAAATGAACCAGGGAAAAAATGAAAAAGGATTGTGGAATCTTTTCTAATATAGGTAGCCCTCATTATCTATGTGTCCGTTACATGCCATTTTGAATATTTGCAACTATTAAAAAGAGGCCAAACTGATTATACACAATAAATATTTATACATCTCCACTGCATTTATCTTGGTTTTTGATACGTTATACATTTGCAAAATAGCAGACAGGTTTTTGCAGATGTATTATAGGTAGCTCGACTTAAGAACATAAATTGAGCCTGGAATTTCAGTTATCAGTTCTTGCTGTCATTAAACAAGTCACCATGTGATTGCATCCACTGTTATGACCCTTTTGCAGCAGTCGTTAAGTGAATCCATTTTATCCAATGGGTGTTTTTTGTCAGAATTCAGAATAAATGCTGGAAACTGGAAAAAGACAATGAAAATCGTGATCATGTGAACGTGGTACACTGCAAATGGCTGCAAGTTAATTGCCAAGCCCCCAAATGTGATCATGTGACAATGGTGTGTGTGTGTGTGTGTGTGTGTGCGTGCGCGCGCGTGCATGCATTGGAACTTTGAAATTGGGTTGCAAGTAGCTTTTGGGGAGGTCTGTCATAACTTCAAACCGTAGCTCACAAATGTCTGCCCCCAAACCTATTTTTCAAGTGAGCTGACTCAGAAAGCCTTTTCAAGGATAGCTTTAAAATCACTTTCACAATCCCATTTTATGAGAAGCAACTGCAAATAAGAAAATGGCACAAACTGAATCCCTGCCCTATATAGCAACTAATGCCAGATCAGGATTACCTGCAAAGTGGTCGAAGGACAGACAAACCAAGGAACCGGCGATCCTCTGGGCAGCTGTTGTGTTCAATGAGCCATCCATGGATGCAGGAAGTGCAGAAGGCGTGCTCGCAAGGAGCTTGCAGAGGATCCTGGAGCACATCTCGGCAAATGCAACACATCAGCCCATCATTAACATAACCAACAAAGCGCTCCATGTCATAGCCCATTTTCTCAAACACGATTAACCTAATATGGGAATGAAATACAGCATTAGCCTTGAGCAGAGGACAGTAACTTCTTACACTGCCTTTGAAAAATCAAGGGTTTCTCTTAAGGACACCAACTTGGCATCTTTACAAAGTGACTGTCCCAGCTGGCAAGTTTTAAACAACTCTCACATACCAAAAAGATGCCTAGCAGATTCATAGGTAAGATACTTTTATCTTTCATATCTATCATATATGCATGCAAATCTCTTCAGGTCATTGACTAAACTTCTCAAACATTGTGATATGTTTGATCCGCATATTGTGCACGAGTCTCAAATGGGAAAGTGCCACCCCACTGAGAGTTAATGGCCTTGTCAGGTCTGAGCCTGAATTTGTTCCTACCAATCCAGACACCCACACAGTCTTCAAGCACTGGGCTAGGACTTTGATGGCATCACTTGACTGGCATGGAGCCGACAGGTACCAATGGGTATAGTCAGCTGATGCTCATACTGATGATAGCTGACCCCAAACCAATGGATGATTTCACCCAGCAGTTCCATGTAGATATTAAACAGAAGCAAGTGTAGAAACCTGTAGCACCCCACAAAGAGAGAGATCATTCACATTCACCAATGCCAACTGTAACCAACCACAGACAAAGAGAAGCATCATCACAGTGTCTCCCACCCCCAGCGTTTGCTACTGACCAAAGGACACCATTGTGGATATTAATGAAAGACACTGAAAGATCAAGGAACACAAGCATGCCATACTACCCTATCCTGGCTCTGCCACAGAGATGAGGGTGACTAATGTAGTTCCCATACTAGACTACAACCTGCCTACTGGAATGGGTTCAGGGAATCCACTTCCTCCAGGGACTTTTGACCTGAAGCCTGACTACCTTCTCCACTACTTTCTCTAAAGGTTGGAGGATGGGCAATAATTGTCCAGGACTATTGGATTTAAAGATGATCTCTTCAGGAAAGGGGACATCACTGCCTCCTTCAAGACCAAGAAAACCACCTCAAAAAGGCTGGCACTGCGGCATAGACATTATTAGTATGCATCTGTACAATGTTCTAATGTCTAAAATACGTTTGCTCACGGAACATAGTATGTGGAGCTTAAAACTGTTTGCCTCTCTGTCCATCATCAGGATAACTCTCCAAAAACTGGGGGCGGAAAAACAGGACTATATCTGGTTGTGGTGGGTAGCTGCAAAAGATAAGACTGAAATGTAAAAAAGGGTTTTGGGTTGCAGAGATTAAAATTACCGGAAAAATATCTCTGAGTGAAGCCCTATGATGGGCAATGTTTCAGAACGTTTCTAATTTCCTGTATGGTTCATCCTAAACAAATATAAAGGTCTTGGAGAGTTCAGCAGCTGTTTCATCATATCTTGGCTCCCCCCCACACCCCACCTTTTTTTCCTATTTACTGATGACAACGATCTTGACATAAAAAAAACCAGTTGAGGCCATACAGGAGATTTATTAATAGCATCTTTGCTAAGGGCACATTTTTGGGGTAGCTGGGACATAGCAACTGTCACGGTCCCATCAGAGTGCGGTTTGGAGGAGGAGGAGTTGGAACTGGGGCCATCCGACAGGGATGGCACATCTCCCTTGGCGTGTTTGCAGGCCAGGGGCTGAGGATGATGCTGTCCCAGGCCCCATAGGTATTGGGGGAGCTGGTCGACCATGCCTGCCTGCACAGAAACAGGGGAGGATTGGCTGCTGACAGGCAATGGTGCTGAGAGGCAGATCTTGATGAGGAACAGCTGCCTCCTCCACTGATCCAAGGGCAAGGAGAGCAGAGCACAGGCAAGCCAAGAGAAGAGCTGCAAGGCTATTCGGGAGCAGGTCACAAGGAACACCTGGGAAGGAGTAACTTAAGGAGAAGCCCTGGGGAATTAGTCTTTGCCAGGAACAAATGTTTGTTTTTGGATTACACTCCCCCAGCTTTGCCTTGTGCTTTTGCCTTGCTGTGAGGACTGCCCTTTGCCTTACCCTAGCCCTGTGGATTTTACCTTCAGAACTGCCTTTGCCTTGTACCCTGTCTCTGCTTTGAGGACTGCCGTCTGCCTTGCCCTAATCTTGTGGACTGATTTTGCCCTTTGTTTTGCTTTACCTTCCGAACTGCCTTTGCCTTGTACCTCGTCTTTGCCCTGAAGACTGCCATTTGTTTTATGCCTGGACTTTGCCTTGTGGACTTTCCTGGTAATACAGTATATGGGCTGTTGTTTGGGGGAATGAGGACGGCTGCCTTCAGGGTAGTCCGGAGTGGAGCCTTACTGGTCACTGGAGGGCCGTTGGTTGAACACTTTCTGAGGACAATAAAGGACACTCTAAAGACCTTCCTTGCCTTGACCACTTGGATCATAACAGCAACAACAAGAAGGCTTATAGCTAGAAATCTTAGAGTGGCATATATCATGGCTTGCAGTCTCTTTTTTCAGGTGGTACTTTATTTATATAATAATAATAATAATAATAATAATAATAATAATAATAATAATAGTAGTAGTAGTAGTAGTAGTAGTAGTAGTAGTAGTAGTAGTA